ATGAGGATGGTCATGGCGAACCCTGGACACCTTGGAGATGCGAAAAAGGAAAGCAGAAGGATATCCATGGCAAGCCAGAGGATGAACCCTGGACATCGTGGGGATGCGAAAAAGGAAAGCATGAGGATAGCCGTGGCAAGCCAGAGGATGAACCCTGGCCATCGTGGGGATGCGAAAAAGGAAAGCATGAGGATAGCCGTGGCAAGCCAGAGGATGAACCCTGGACATCCTGGAGATGTGAAAAAGGAAAGCATGAGGATAGACATGGCAAGCCAGAGGATGAACCCTGGACATCGTGGGGATGCGAAAAAGGAAAGCATGAGGATAGCCGTGGCAAGCCAGAGGATGAACCCTGGACATCCTGGAGATGCGAAAAAGGAAAGCAGAAGGATATCCATGGCAAGCCAGAGGATGAACCCTGGACATCGTGGGGATGCGAAAAAGGAAAGCATGAGGATAGCCGTGGCAAGCCAGAGGATGAACCCTGGACATCCTGGAGATGCGAAAAAGGAAAGCATGAGGATAGCCATGGCAAGCCAGAGGATGAACCCTGGACATCGTGGGGATGCGAAAAAGGAAAGCAGGAGGATAGCCTTGGCAAGCCAGAGGATGAACCCTGGACATCGTGGGGATGCGAAAAAGGAAAGCAGAAGGATAGCCATGGCAAGCCAGAGGATGAACCCTGGACATCCTGGGGATGTGAAAAAGGAAAGCATGAGGATAGACATGGCAAGCCAGAGGATGAACCCTGGACATCGTGGGGATGCGAAAAAGGAAAGCATGAGGATAGCCGTGGCAAGCCAGAGGATGAACCCTGGACATCCTGGAGATGTGAAAAAGCAAAGCAGGAGGATAGCCATGGCAAGCCAGAGGATGAACCCTTTTCATCCTGGGGCTGGCAGCGACGAAACTGGGAAGGCGCGCGCAGCCGGCAAGCAGAACAAGATTGCTGGGACTACTGGCAGGAGACGCAGCCCCAGCAGCAGAGAGGAGAACTGGCCAAAGGAAGCAAGGAGAACAAGCCCGCAGACTCGGCACGCTCTTGCAGACTTTTGTCACAAGCGCTGCTACAAGTGAAGGGCACGCCCCCGGTTGCGCGATGCGGCGGATCGGCATCTTCTGGTGACGAATCGAACATCACATGCGAGAAAGGTCGCAGCCAGCCTGCCAGCGATACATCCAGCCCAGTGTTGGCGCCACGGAGTGAGCCAGTGGCTGCCAGCCAAACAAGCACCCCGCCGTTGGCACCGCAGGGTGAGCCGGCTGTGGCGAAAGGCATGCAGGAGATGCCAAAGGCCGCGAGAGAACCTCGTTTGCTTTGCCCGCTGGATGTGAAGCTCGCTTCAAAGTGCCGTTTTCCTGCTAATGTTTCCCCTTTTGGGTTGACCCCATTTTGAATGACACCCCCCGAAGCTCAAGCTTTGCGAGGTCCAACAAGAATCCGTTGACGAAGGTAGCCCAATCGCACGCAGGGTTTCCCGGTTTCCCTCTTATCTCATGGGTTCTGAGACTTCAGTGAGGAAGTTCTCTGCGGACTACGTGAGCGGGAGCCAGCCAGATGGCCGCCATCCGGGTACTTTGCTGGACTCGGCGGTGCGGCAGGCGTGTGGCTGGTGGGAAATGGGTTTGGAGGGCCATGTTTTTTTTTTCATGGTGGGTGGCTTTTTGGCTTTTGTGGCTTTTACGTGGGTTTTTGGTGGCTTTTGTGGGTATTTCTCATCATGTCGCCCTCCGGGCGTGTCTCTTTTGTCGGTTTCCCCTGGAGACAAGCCCCCCAAACAACGGGGCTTGTGGCTTGTGGGAAATGTTTTTCATTTTTCCTTTTTTTTCTCTCATTTTGTAGCTCTCCGGTTGGATTTGACCAGTGACTGATTTTAGGACAACTCCGGGCTGGTCTTCTTCTTGTCGGTTTCCCGTGGATTTGGCAACCCCCCAAAAAAACGGGTCCCTCATTTTAGGACAGCGTTTGGTTGCCACTTCCTGTGAATAAGGCTTTCAGAGGTCAAAGTTGGACGGGGATCAAGAACTAGTATGTGTCACAGAGAGGTATTCGCCTGGACTCATGGCTGGATGGGAACCAAGACATTAGCTGGTATTACAGAAAAGCCAAAAAAAAACATCGCCGCGATCATCACTTGACCCCAATTCGGCACCATGCCGGGTGGGAAGCCCGCGTATCTACCTGCCAGGTGAAGGCCAACGGCAGCTGGGATAGCATCTGGTACTTGGGCTACGAGGGCCCTTTGCGCCGCTTGGCTGTTGGCTTTCGAGTCCACTGGCTGACTTTTCGTTGACGTCATATGAGTTCATGAGACTTCCCTGAACGAAGTGGTTGGTTGCCGCCTGAAAGTGCGTGTCGCCCTCCCAAAGATGGGGAACGGCCACGTGCTTCCCTTCCTTGCAGCTGATATCTCGCTTAATTCGAAGCCCTCCGGGATCCGAGGGGTGCAGAGAGTGAATGGGAACATCGTGGCCATTGACAACTGGAAGCTCTACGTGCTTCAGCGAGCTGCCGCGATCCGTTTGCCGGCACGGTCGCAGTGTCTGGCCTATTTCATGGACGAGGGGCCGAGTCCGCAGGATTTGTTGATGAACTGCACGGTAGCGGAGACTCAGTTCAGTGGCACCAATTCTGTTTCCCTTTGTTTGGTGGCACTAAACATGGTCCAAGCCCCATCCAAGGGTTCCCTTTTCAGGGTCACTGAACAACTGAGGACACCATCACCGTGGATTCCCCCTCAGGTGTCACTGAGAACCAGCCGCGGCAGGACGTGTTCTGGAATTGGCGCGCAGCAAGGCCCATCGTGTGGAACCCGTGAGGCTGCGGTGAGTTTATCGCATCAGACTGTGTCACACTCATCGGGCCATGGGTCAAAAGCCCGGGCTGGGCCCCCAGCGAACATCCCAATCCCCACTAAGAAAGACTAAAATGGGTGGTGAATTCACCTACCCCAAAGTGGTACCATTGGTTTTGACCCACGGCCATCGCATCATACTGTGTCACACGCACATCGTGGCTGATGCGTTCAAAAAATGAGCCACACCAATCTTGCTGCTGCTTGTCCTTGGGTGTCGTGCTGATGCCATTGTGCATTCTTTGCATGTTTGATTGCTCATCTTCCTAGGATTTCTTTTGGAGGCATGGTGAAACTTGTTCCAACAAACTCTGGCCACAATTCTAGAGCGCTGATAGCAGGGTCCTTTGTTTTAGAAAGAGTATCCATCTTGGCAGAAGCAGCAGATCCATTCCTTCGATCAACGAACCTGTGAACCTTCCCTCAAACATGGTTTGACTGCCTAGTTGACACAATCCCCGGGTTGTTTTCTCGTCCACGTGGACTTCGAAATTCACACCCACAGCGGAAATCAATCTTTCACAAACACCATTGGGTGCATATGTCTCTCACGTCAGGTCGGTGAGGCGCCCGCGCAGAACCCCCGACTGAGAGGGTGGATTCCTTTGCTTCGATTCTTTGTGGGATCTGGCGCGGCCAGATCGCTGGAAAGGGCGCCCCTTCAGAGCGGATTGGGAAAGGAGAAGGCCGCCACATCAGCCTGCAGACTTTGGTCGCAACTGGCAGAAGTGAAGGCCACCGGTCGCACGATACGGACGGACCAGCCAGCATCTTCTCGTGAGTCGAAACCGCCTTCCATCGCATGATGCGGTTTCAATTCACCAGAAGATGTTGATCCGGCCAACGTCGCCGGCCAACCAAGCGATACATCAACCCTTGTGTTGGCGCAGGAGCCTGCGGTGGCTGCCAGCCAGACAACCGCCCCACCGTTAGCACCGCAGGGTGAACCAGCAGTGGCGAAAGGCATGCAAGTGGCCGAAGCGGAGATGCCAGTGGAAGCCGCGGCAGAGGATACGCATGAGAGAGCCTCCTCTTTTGCTTTGCCCTTTGGACGCGAAGCTCGCTTGAAATGCGTCTTTTTACCTTTTTGGTTTTACATGTTGGGTTCCAATTTTGAATATGTTCGAATCACAACCCGGAAAGCAGAAGCCTCGCAGGCGTATCTTCCATTTGCTGAAAAATGTGTGTTATGTTGTTGGTGTTAAAGGGAACCCATCATTCGAAATGTTTGTGCTCCTGGGGACTTAAGCACATGGAGGTTATGCGAGTAGCCAAATTGGAGTTGGCGCGGTCTTCCCTCAGACATGATTTCCCGTGATTGGGCAAGTGAGGAAATTCTTCGCGGACTACATGAGCGGAAGCCGGCCGGATGCCGGCTCCGACGCGGCGGTACGGCAGGCTTGTGGGCCATTGTGGCATTGGGGGGTCTTTCTCGTCAGGTAGCCCGGAGGTCCGGGGGGGGGGGTTTGTTGTTGTTGGTTTCCCTTGGATCTGACAGACCCAAAAAATGGTCCCTCCTTGTAGGACACCCCAAAGAATCACAAGCTACAAAGTGCTACTGTAGTACAGACAGGTATTCGCCGAAACCTGGCTGGACTCATGGCCAGATGAGGCACTTGCTCAAAACCCGGGGAGATGAACGTTAGTGAGGGGCAATCCCCTTGCCATAAATAGTTGCGGATATCCGCCTGCTTAATTCTTGAAGCGTGGTTCTGGGATTACGATCATTTTGATACCCGGTTTTGATTGTGGCTCATATACTGAAATTAATGTGTTCTCATTTTCCCTCGGGCGGTTCTCCAGGAAGGAACCCAGGACATGTCCATTTGGTGAAGAATAAATATATTTTTATAATATGTTTCCTGGTTGGTTTTGATTATCAGATGGGAGTATTACCGGCAAAGCAAGACCGCGCCTGACCCCGATTCCCACTGATCTTATATTACCCAGCCAGTGGGCACACTTTACACTTTGTTCCTTGGTGGCTCTCCCTTTCTTTTTCTTTTTGGTGGCCCAAAAATGGCCCAATCGGGCTGGTCACTGGCCAAGTGAGTCTTAGAAAGGTTTGTTCTTAGTTTCCACATGGCCGAATGAAAGAGCTAAAGGGTTACGCAAGACGGTTCAATTGCTCGGTCCCATTCTCACCAAGGCAATTTTGGGTACCATTTTGATTGAGCCCACTTGTCTCAAGCCAGGGGACACGCCAAAACTGTTTTTTGTTTTTTCCTTTGGTTTCCCCTCTTGGAGCCACATGCCAGGTGAAGAGGGCTCCGAAAAGCCCCAAAAAGCGTTCGCGCCGCCCGGCTTTCTGAGTCGAGGGGTGGTTTGCTTCTTAAGGGCAGTGGTTTTTCCGAGACGTCCTTGAACAAAATCTTGCGGCCTGGAAGTGTGGATTTGTTTCCTGGGAGGTCTGCCAAGCTGCGCCTGAAGTATGTTTTCTTCTTGGGAGGTCTGCCAAGCTGCGCCTGTGTGGTGCTTTTCTTTCTGAGATATGCCCAAGCTGCGCCAACTGCTCCCCGAAAGATGGCCAGGAGGCCCGCCTTGCTTCCCTTTCAGCTGTCTGCTAGAGGCCATCGGGCCAACGGAGCGGTGCAGAGCTCGGAGGCAGAAAATCGTTGCAGCGAGCTGTGCAAGAAATGGATCAGTGGGTTTCGCCCCATTTTTGTTCTTCCATTTAAGGTTAAGAATATATGTTTAAATTTATGTCGCAGTGAAATGTGTTATGTGCCTCTTCTCAGTTTTGGTTGAACATCGATGGATTTCCCTAGACTAGGTTGTTTCAAACCATTCAAGACACCTAGGCTGGCCAACATGTGCATGCAGCCGTTGCTTTCCTTGTAAAAGCGTTTGAATCGGACTACTTGCTGTTTTGTTTGAATCCAGGGGCATTTGCTTATGGAATATACTACCTTGTTTATCTCCTGTTTGCTCAGCTGGCACGCCTGATCCTTTTAGTCTGTTGAGAGTTCATGAATTGCATGCATTGCATGTTGTGCGAAATGCCGCGGCAATTGTTTGGGCTCAAAACAGCCCCGCCGCCATCGAAGATGCAGGCCGGGGATGGGAGATGGGACGTAGATGAGGTCCGCAGGTGCAACAACGCCCCTCGGAACCTGGTTTCCTGTGCCGTTTTTCCGCGTTGGAAGGAGTCCTTCCGGTGAGAAGGCAATCTCGATTTTTTTGGAAGGATATGAGGAAATTGGTTGGCTTGTATTTGGGCTTGGTTTGAGGCTGAGTTGCCAAAATGGTTGAATATGAATATTAGTATTCTTTTTTTTCTGATGTTGGACATCCACCAGATAAAACAAGTCAGACATCCACCAGCACCCCCCCCTTGCCTGCATTTTCCCATGTCCGAAATGTCCGAAGCCTCGCCTTGGCTGTCCCAGAAGCAGTGGTTGTCTTGGATGCGGTTCCCTGCTTCCTGAAGTTTTGAGGTGTTTAGTTGGGTTTAGTGATTTAGTGGAGGGGTTCCATGCAGCCCAAGTCATTCACTTTTCGCAGATATGAAAACGGACAGCCCAGAATTGGATCCGTCGCCTTTTTTCGCGAGGCGGGCAGTTGAGGCTTCGGCCGGGAGCTCAGAGTCGTTTGGATCCGTCGCCCGTCGGGGTGTCAGTGTTGTTTCAGATCTTTTAGGGGTACAACCGTTGGACTAGGTCCCCCAGCAATTGGTGCCCCTTTTTTACCGTGTCTTTTTGGGGGGAGGGTTCCAACCTACTGAAATAGACCACAGAAAAAACTCGGGACCCTTATTCTAAACTCTCAAATCTGGAGGACCCTTTTGGAGTTGTTCTAAAGGGAAGTCAAAAGGTGTGTGAAGGACTTAAATTCAGGGGGCTCCCTGTTGGGGGAAATCAACCAGCCCGGGTTTTATGTCCGATAGTAATAGGTGGAGGTAATCCCTATAAATAATTTGCCAGTGTCCCTTTAATAACCACACACAAAAAGCTTGGTGGCTCCCAGCCATCCGGTTCCTCAGCTTTTTAGCTTTGTAGTGTCTAGTGGTAGTTTCCATTCAACCCTTTGAAAGTTAAACTTCTGGCGGGGGATCTGAGGACAGCCGAAAAGGGGGGCCCTCAAAAAATGACACCCCCCTTGTACCCAGAGGCTCCCAATGTATTTAGGGCCCTCAAACAGCCAGGTTTTGAGACCCCCAAACACCTCTGGGGTGTCTAATGGGGTCAGGTCTTCCATTGAAAGCCGAAGCCAGGAGCCTCTGGGTAAGGATATAAAACGGGCAACAAAAAAGCTCAATCGGTTTCGGGGACGCAGGTCGCAGGCCCGGCCCCAAATGCTTGTCAGCTTTTCTTTGGAGGTTACCAAGTCACATGAAACCCAGGACCCTTCTTGGCAGCAGCAAAAGCAAAAAGCTCCAGCCTTGAGGCCGGACGAAGCGTGATGGCTGAGGAGAACCTGACGCCCGATTCGGGTCCAGTCGAAAAGATTCGGGTCCATTCGGTTTGGGGGGTTGTGTGCTGTTGCGAGTGCTTGCCGGATTTTGTCGTAAGGGAAACCAACCAAAAAGACCCTTTTGTTTGGAATGCGAACTCCTATCTATGAAAGATCTCTTCTGGCGATGCTGGTTGCCAGAAGGTCCGGCTCCTTTTGGTGGGATACTGTTTGCAAGACTTCGCTGTTGCCGAACACTATGCATCTGTGGCACGGTGCATGTTTTGGTTGTGACCTCGTGTTTCGGTTGTGACCTAGTTTCACCTCCATCGAGAAGCAGGCAACGTTACCCCGTGGTGGCAGGCGAATTTGCTGGAAATTTTGGGGGGCATCCAGGTGGTACACATCTAAGAGATCAGCTGGCGTGTGCCATGAACTCATTGGAGCCACAATCAAGGGCTGGGTAGACAAAGAGTAGTATGGGACAGTCCAAACCATAGGTTTGGGTGTATTATAACGACCTCACGCTAGCGAATTCACCCCAAAAATAGCCCCCCAACCACCATCTGTCA